TACATACAGACATAGGGCTGAAGATGTAGCTCATTTCAAAGGGCCTACCTCTAATACTCAGTACCAAAAAAGAAAGTTGCAAAAGATGCTGCTTTTCCGGCATTCCCTGCTGCTGTCCTGAACTATTAAAAGGCATATAAAAAGGAACATCCTGACATGAACGAAGCTGACCGAGCAGCAACAGAAGGCTGGAACAACAGAGCGCTGGCCAAATGCCTAGGTGGGGATGAGGAAATAACTCATAATACAATTTTTGCAAAAGGACACCTGCTCCCAAATGGCAAAGAGCATCTGTCCAACTGTCCAGATGGTACTGTAGCGACAATGTAAAAATATGAACCTTTAATTATTAAAGAGCTATTAAAATCAAGGAAAATACAACTAAATTTTAAGTTGAAAAATAAGTAAGTAATATCCAAAAGTTATTTTTTAAAAAAGATTAATGAGAGGTGCTCAAGCCTACCAATATTTTCTAAGTATGATAATGGGGCTAGGCATGCAGCTCAGTGGCAGAGCTTGCCTGAATGCCTGCCAGGTCCTGGGTTAATCGCCTATCACTGCCAAAAAGACAAGAAAATTGTAACTATGTCTTAGTTTTTAGAACTATGGTACTACAACAGATATTGTGAAGTGAGAAGAAACTTTCAAAGGACAGAGAAACTGGGATGGGGGAATGGAAAAAAGAAGAGAAAAGAGGAAAAAAAATATATATATATGATAGTTAAGACAGTTACCCTACTAATTTCTCTTAGGTCATTAAGTAGAAAGGTTTGTGCTAATATCATTTGGACAATTAAATGCTGGTATCTTGTACTCTGAGTAACTAGTTTAAAAATTACAATATGCAATGTATTAACCATTGTTACCCTATGATCTTGTTTTGAATTTTTTTCTAAAGGAGCCGGGGAGATGGCTCAGTGGAATAAGCGCTTCCCTGGCAAGTGCAAGGGCCTGAATTCAATCCCCGGTTCTGCAATAAATAAATAAATAAAATTAAAATAACCTTATGGTACTAGTAAATGACAGGAAAAAAACAAAACAGAAAAAGACCCAAGCACATGCAAGAATTCTAGTTCTAATTACAAAGCCCACTCTTCTCAGCTCCCAGAAGAGGTCTCAGACACATGCAGATCATCACACTGGCAGTATTAAGTAGACCATAACCTGAAAGCAGACTCTTAACCCTGCACAATATAGGGCAGGAAGTATAGGATCCCAACATGGCTGCTTCAGGAATACTGTCTTCATTAAACCCAACCCAAACTGTACAATAAGATCATCTCAAAAAATATATATATATATGTATCTTCAAAAGTGACCCTTAAGGGCTAGGGAGATAGCCTGGTGGTCTAAGCACCTGCCTGGCAAGTGCAAGGACCCAGGTTCAATCCCCAGTATTACATGCCATGCTGGCCCCAGAACGCCAGGCATGCCATGCTGGCTCTGAAACCAGGTGTGGTGGCTCACACCTGTAATCCCAGTGCTGAGGAGGCTGAGACAGGAGGATTGCAACCAGTGCAAGCTGTGTAGCAAGACCCTGTCTTTAAATGAAAGATTTAAAAAAAGGTTCCTCTCCAGTTATAACAAATGTAAAACTCTGATACAGGATAAGATGTTGATACTGGGAAAGCTATGTGTGGAGAAAGAAAGCAGGGAGTATTTGGGAACTGCTGTGCTTGTTTTAATTCTTAAATCTAAGAGTGTTTTCAAAAATATCACTTGGTGGTGGCTGGGGAGATGACTTAGTAGAATATGTGCTTGCCTGGCAAGCACAAGGGCCAGAGTTCAATCCCCAGTACCACCCCCACCAAACATAAAATTAAATTAAATTAAAATAAATAAAATATATATATATAGCAGGCCAGGGGTAGGTCCTGAGTTTGATTCCTGGTACAAAAAAAAAAAAAGGCTCACCAAAAATATTACTTAGTGGGCCAGCCACATAGCTCAGCGGACTAAAGCACCTGCTTAGGCAGAGTGCAGCGGCCAGGGTTTGATCCCCAGCATGCCATGGCAGCCCCACCCCCCCCCGGTTGCCTTGGGTTGTTGTTTAGGCTTTTTTTTGTTAAAAAAAAAAAGGACTGGATGTGGTGGCACGTACTTGTAATCCCAGAGATTGGGAGGCTGAAAACAGGAGAATCACTACAAGTCTGATCTGTGTAGTGACCCTGTAGACTCTGTACCAAATATATAATATAGATAGTAGACAAACAGATAATTTAGCTTAAAAAACCATAAGCTAGGCTGGGTACTATGGTGCATGCCTATAACCCCATGTACTTAGGAGGCTGAGACAAAAGCCAAAAATGGGGGGCTGGTGAGATGGCTCAGTGGTCTAAAGCACCTACTTAGAACAAGTTGAGCAAAGCACAGGGACCGCGGTTCAATCCCCCAGCACCACATGCCAGCCAGCCCCGCCCCCTGGTGGGCTGAGCTGGCCACACACACACATACACACACACACACACATAAATAAATAAATAAAATTTAGAAAAAAAAAAAAAAGCCAAAAATGGGACAAGACTAGGCAACAAAGCAAGATACTATCAAAATACAAAAAGGGCTAGGGACATAACTCAGCGCTAGAGTGGCTCTTGGTTCAATCCTAGTACTGCACAAAATAAAAATACAACACCTACTAATTTTAATACATCTTATTAGTGTCTATTAATTTTTTAAAATATTGGAAAGACCGATACATGGCCATATGCAGTGGCACATACTCGTAATCCTAGCAACTCATGAGGCGAAGGCAGGAGGATTACAAATTCAAAAGACCAAGACCTGTCTCATATTTTTTAAATGGCTGGAACTGTAGCTCAGCAGTATGGCTTGCCCAGAACAAAGAAGACCCCAATACTAAAAATAAATAAATAAGAGCCACTGGTTCAAAAAAAAATTTTTTTAATCCATGTATATTTTGGGGGCCAAGGGCAATAAATACTGGAGATTGAATCCAGGTCTTTGTACCAATAAACTACCTCCCCAGGACTCATTTTTTATTTTTATTTTATTTTTATTTTTTGATATAGGGTCTTGCTATGTAGTACAGGCTGGCCTTGAACTTGTTTATGTAGCCAAGGCTGGTCTCAAATTCACAATGATCCTCCTGTCTCAGCCTCAAGTACAGGGATTACAGCCATGTGCCACCACACCTTGCACTTTTAAAAAATCCTGCCTCAAAATTTAAAAAAATGAAGCCAGATGTGGTCGTGCACACCTGTAATTAATTCCAGCACATGAAGGCTAAGGCAGGAGGATTTTTTTAGTTGAGATCAGCCTAGGCTACAAAGTGAGCTCAAGGCCAGCCTAAACTACATAGCTAGACAAAAAAGAAAAGGAAAAAATGAAAGGAATAAAAGGTTAGAAATGTAGTTTAGTGGAAAGACCCTGGGTTCACTCCCCAGTACAGAAAAAAAATCTTATATGTATTGTTGACTAGATATATTATTTTCCTTTTGGAGGCATTATCAGTAATAAAAATAAAAATGAAAAAGATAAAAAATCAATTCAAAATGAGATAAATATGAGTATACTGGGTTTTGCATCAGGCAAACTAAAAACTTGCTTTACAAAAACAATAAAAAAGATCAACCTTATTAAAAGAGAGAAGTAACTAAATAGAAGCACAAGAGAAAGACAAGCAAAATCATTACCTCCCGCCAAGTCCTTCGATTCGTTCTCTTTCCTTGGGAAGTTCTGGTTTATGGTCCTGTGTCACCTCCACAGCTCTAACAAAATCATCCTTCGGGTCATCCTGAATTCCAAGGACCACCCCTGAGTCACCTACATGAGCTACATACATCTTCATGCCCCGTATGATGACCACACTGGCAGTCGTCCCTGATGTGCTGGGCAGACCTGTCATAGTCTTTGGCCATTCTGCTGCAATGAGAAACAAAGTATTTTATTCTTCTAGGTATAAACATTAATACAGTTTCATGACAGAAGAAGCAATTGTCTGAATTAGCATATTAAAATATTTTAAATATATTTTGGAAAATAGGGATTTCTGTTGATTTTTTTTTTTTTGAGATAGGGTCTCACTATGTAATCCATGCTGGCCTTGAACTTGTAACAATCCTCCTGCCTCACCCTCCCATGTGCTGGGGTAACAGGTATGTGCCACCAAGCCAAGCTGTTGATGCATTAACACATTAATAAGTTTTATAAACAATGCAACTATAATAAAATTGTGCAAACAGTCTAAGAGGGTCAGGGAGACAGCTCGGTAGAATAAGCACTTGCCTGGCAAGTGCAAGGTCCTGAGTTTAATCCCCAGTACTAAAAAAAAAGCCAAAGAGAAATATATTACAAGACATACTATTTCTATATAATGCCTAGTCCTAACTACATTTAATCCTAGCTATAATCCTAGCATTCCAAGAGACTGAGGCAGGAGGATAACAAATTTTGAGCCTAGCATGGGCAACTTAGCAAGATCCTATCCCAAAATTAGAAACAAAAAAGGTGCCCAGGGATGTCCTAGTTCAGTGTAAAGGACCTAGTTTTTATCCCTGGGAACACACAGATTGAGCCAGAGGACCTAAGAGACTTGCTAGAAGGCTGTGGGTAAACAGTTACAGAGGAAGCGTGAAGTTCAGTGCAAAGGCTCTAGATTCAATCTTCAGTAGGACATATTAGAGGCCAGCCAAGGCTACAGAGTGAATTCATGGCTAACCTGAACTACACAGCAAAACTCTCTCAAAAACCCAAAATGTCAAAGGACCTGAGTAGAAACTTTGCCAAAGATACACAAATGGTCAATAAGTAAATGAACTGATAGTCAATGTCAAGGCTGGGAAGATAGCTCAATGGCATAAGCACCTACCTGGCAAACGCAAGGTATTGAGTTCGATCCCCAGTACACACACACACACACACACACACACACACACACACATACACAGTATCACTAATAAAGGAAATCTGAATCAGATCTACAATAAGTCATCATCTCACACCTACTAGGATAGCTACTATCAAAAGACAAGAGGTGGGCTGGGCATGATGGCATATGCCTGTAATACCAGCACTGGAAAAGCTGAGACAGGAGGACTGCAACAAATTTGAGGCCAGCTTGGGCTACACAGTTAGCTCAAAGACAACCTCAGCTAAAGAGCAAGAATCTGTTAAAAATTTTTTTTTAAAAAGGGGGGGGGTCCAGGGAGAAGGATCAGTAGAATAAACGCTTCCCTGGCAAGCGTAAGGGTCTGAGTTCAATCCCCAGTTCCACCAAAAAACAAAAAACGAAACCAAAAAAAACCCAAAAAACAAAAAACAAAAAATCCAGGCAGGTATGGTGGCACACAACTGTAGTCCCAGCACTTGGGAGGCTGAAGCATAAGAACTGCCAGCCTGGGCTATAAACAGTTCAAGACTAGTCTGAATTGCATGATGAAAAAGTAAATAAACGGGGCTGGGGAGATGGTTCAGTGGAATAAGCACTTCCCTGGCAAGCAAAAGGGTCTGAGTTCATTCCCTGGTTCCACCATAAATAAATAAATAAATAAATAAATAAATAAATATGAACTGCATAGTAAGATCTGTCTCAAAAAAAAGTAGGTAATAAGTGTTGGCAGGACTGTTAATTGGTACAGCCAAGATAAAAAGCAGAATAAAGATTATAAATATGAAATCAGAAATTAAACTACTGTATTACTAAGAATCCCACTCCTGAGTACATACCCAGAGAAAGCAAAATCTGAATAGACAGCTGTACCTCCAGGTTCCTTGATGTGTTTACAACAACCAAGATACTGAATTAACCTAAGTATCTGCTGATAGGTGGAGGTAAAGATAAATGAAGTGTGGCATATAAAGGCTTAGTTTCCCCATTCATCACTATGGACTTTCAAATTCTCCAAAACCTGTAACTTTGTGAGCAACAACAGACACCTCAAGTACAAAATTCCACACCTGACTATGAGATAGGCTGTGGTCAAAATGCAGGTGTAAAAAGACTACACATTTGAGTCCTTCTGGGACAACTTAGTGAGACCTTGTCTCAAAATAAAAAACAAAAAAAATCCAACCTAAAAAACTCAACATCTTAGGGAGACCCCCCAAAATAGAAAATAAAAAGGGACCCCTCAGAACCTATCAATTAATGAATTGATTGTTGAAGAACAGCTCATACAGTGCTTCTGGGTTCAATTACCCACCCCCACATCCTGCCCCCACAAAAAGCAGGTTCAGTCTGGGACTGGGATTATTGATCAGTTGGCAAAGTGTTCCCCTATCACATACAAATCTCTCAGTTTAGTCCTTAGTACTGCAAAACAGAACAGACAGGTACAGCTGGGATTATAGCTTAGAAGTCCACAACTCAGCACAGATGAGGCCCTGGGTTCAACTTCCAAAGCATACATGTGCACACAAAACAAGCACACTGGGGCTGGGGAGATAGCTCAGTAGAATAAGGGCTTCCCTGGCAAGCGCAAGAGCCTGAGTTCAATCCCCGGTTCTGCCAAAAAAAAGAAAAAAAGAAAAGAAAAAGCACACTGAAAATTACCTTCAGGCTATACATATATAGCCTGAAGAACCTGAAGAAAGGAAACACATATGAACTCTGTATTTAGACTTGGGTTCCATCTCTAAGATACTTAGGTCACTGTAAATATTCCAAAATCTGAAAAAAAAAAAACCCAAAACAATTTTAGCCCTATGTTTTTTTTTTTTTCGGAACCGGGGATTGAATTCAGGCTATTCTACTGAGCCATCTCCCCGGCCCCCTATGTATTTTAAATAAGAAATACTATTCAACTTCTACATACAGTGGAATTCCATTCTATCAAAAAAGACCATTTTTGCCATTTCCAAGGAGGATGAACCTGGAGGACATTATGGTAAATAAAATAAACCAGGCACAGACAAATACTGTCTGACATCATTTACACACAAAATCTAAAAAAAATCAAACACATCAAAACAGAAATAGGTTGTCAGGGAGCATGGATTACCAGGGGTTGGGGCTGAGAGAAGTGAGAAGATGGTCAAAGCATACAAACCTTCAGCTGTGAGATGCTAAGTTCTCAGGATGTGATGAACACCACAGTGATTATATGCCTGTGCTGAACAGAATAGCTGAAATTGGCTGAGTAGCTCTTAAATGTTCTCAACACCTTTAATGCTGACTATGTGAGGTGATGGGGGGTAGTCACCTTTAATGCTGACTATGTGAGGTGATGTGAGGTGATGGTATCATAACACAACACACGTATATCAAATTATCCCATTATATACATTAGAAAATAAAACTAAAATTTTCTTCAGAAGCCATTAAAAGAAAAGACTTTCAGAATGAAAAATGGTCCCACAAATCAAATCTATAATACACTGCCTAAATGTAAAAGCGAACAAGAGGATCCAGGCATAGTGATGCCTGCTTGTAATCCCAGCACTGAGGTGTTCACACAGGAGTATCACAAGTTCAAGGCCAGACTGGACTACAGCATGGTAAAAGCCAACTGAGCTACACAGCAAGACTCTGCCCAAAAAATGGTAGTAAGATTGGGGACAAAAGACCAAAAAGGCTTATAACAACAAGAACAACAAAACTAAAAAAAAAAAAAAAAAACTAAAAAAAACATGCAAAGGTGTTTAGTTTCTTTAATTACTAGGGAAATACTAATTAAAGACCACAATTAGATTATC